AGAAAAGGTGGAAGAGGATGGGGAGAAAAGGTGGAAGAGGATGGGGAGAAAAGGTGGAAGATGAAAGTGATCAGACGAAACTATCTAAATGCCAGAAAATTGTGTGGGGGGGGGGGGGGGGGGGGGGGGGGGGGGGGGGGAGAGAACGCTTGCAGCACACACTAAAGGCATCACTTCAAGTCTTCAGTATAAACCATGAAGATTGCACAAGACTAGAGAACACGGACAATGACCATCCGAAGAGGAGCAGGGACTGGCCAGGCATCTAGAAAAAATGACAGCTGAACAACGCAGACAGGCTTGATAGGCCCTCTGCCTACAGACACTGTTCCCTGCCCCCATTGTCCTAGATCCTTCCAGACCCTTATTGGGCATTCAGCTAAAGTTTCATGGTGAATGACAGAAAGAGTGGTCCTAATGACTTGTGGTGGACAAATAACAACAAACTAGGATGAATGAAATTACCTCCTGATTGGCCGAGAACTGACATTCTTTGAAATTTTGGCGCGTGTCCTTGATAGCAGACTGGTTCCAGCCAATCGTGTTGTGGTAGAGGCGGTCGTAGGGACAGCGGGGCGGGATCTGTCGTCATGGAAGCAATATCTAGGTCACTGAGTACAAACAATTAAAAATGTTGTGCTACTTAGTTACGTCCTTTTTAGGACGTAATTTTTTGTTATTTGAAGCCCCACTCTGGCTTTTGCCAGGGGCCGCAATATAGGCAGGCCATAAAAATGGCCAAATGTCTGAACGCGGTTTATGGGACCTCTCCACGGCGATCCTCATCCACATGGTGGCACGTTGTGTCATCGGGTGTTTATCGCTTGTGTGATGTCCTAGTGGGGTAGAAAGTCACTCACTCAAACAGTTGAGCATCTCATGGCAAATTCCAGCTGTGTAGCGTTATTACAATCGACGCCACTGCACACTGGGCTGCCAATGTCTCCTCAGTCATTCCTCTGATGCAGAAGCCACACCGCGACACCTCACGGATTGCACCCATAAGAAGGTGGTTATAATGTGTCTCCAGTCGTTACCCCGGAGACGGCATAGATGACCTTTACATAATCTAGACCTCTGTATAGTGAGGCAGAGCGGTCAGTTCCTGTCCTCGCCACATTTCTTTCAATGACAGTTCCCAGCCAGTTATGACATTTATCCAGTTTTCAAAATGTTGTAGGCCCTAGCAGCTGTTATAAATTTTTTTAGGATTGAAATGAGACAAAAGTCTGGCCGACTGGAGGTCCACCGAGTTTTTAAAATGGACTGTGCTCTGCTGTGCGGTCTCTCTCTGGCGTGTGGCCCGGCTATCAGTGGTCAATTGTCCTGTGTTGTTGATACTGGCAGCTCATGGCCGCATTGCGATGCAGCTGCGATTGGCCGAGCCAAGAGAGTCTGGCTCGTGACTGCGATGTTGGTGCGTTCTGTAGTTAGCTCTAAATTTGTTTTGAGTAGTTAAACTGTGTGGGTAGATAAATCAAGTGTGTATACTCGTTTGGAGATAGTTCAATTTCGGGTCGTAATAAAAACATTGAATTAGGAAGCTGACAAATTGTGATTAGGACAAAAAGTAAAAGTTCCCCGCTAAACAGCAAAAACAGGAAAGTAAAGAAAAGACAAGGGTTCTTCCGCGCAGGGATCCTAGAATATTCCACCAGAACCTAGGCAAAGGATATATGTATGATGAGTTACATGACAACAGCCTAACAACATGGCTACATTCACCTAGACGAACTTCGTGCACTGACTACAGATCTTAAGTCGAAGCAAGCAAATGAATTATAATCATTACATTAAACAGTTATTTATTTCACTGAATTAAGCACAAAATCAATATACTTCAGATAATACATTAACAACAACCAACGTGCTCGACTAGAATCTAAAGTGCTAATCATCTCCAGCTAACAAGGAAATACGATAATGAACGCATACGCTCAGAAAAATTACTTCAACAGTGGCAAAAGCTGAAACATATTAATTTAACATGTTCGTGAGCATAAATATGCCCCAGACCAATAAATAGCTTTTAGCGACCTGTCATCCAACTATCTGCAACTAAGGCAGAACCTGAAAGTCTATCAGCTCTATTTTTGCTAACAGCACCTGCATTCCCTGGGATAAAGGTAAAGGTAACTGCATGCGCACTTGAGTTTCGCAATGACTCAATCCACTTCCTGCGGTGGAAACAAATATGGGGTGAGGCTATGGCGTAATGGGGTGTTGGAGTTCCATAGAGTTTGGTTTGAGAAGGGTTGTAGTGAGGAGGTCGGTACAGTTGAAATATTAAAGATAGAACGAGAACGATTGTGGAAGTGGATATTCTCTAGTGCAGCGGTTTTCAACCTTCCTAATGCCACGACTCTTTAATACAGTTCCCCCATGTTAGGGCGACCCTTTAATACAGTTCGCTCATGTTAGGGCGACCCCAGACAATTATGTATTCTCATAACTTCAATGATTGTGTTTCACAATGGTCTTAGGTGACCTCTGTGGAAGGGTCAACCGAACCCTGAAAAAGGGTCTCGACCGGTAGGTTGAGAACGACTGCTATAGATGATCATTGTAACTTGCACGTGACTTACAACATGTGCGGAAACCAGTTCGGGGCAATCACCCAAAAGATATGGCAGTCAACTTATACTGGGTACGTTGAGCATGAGACACTGAGATGGCTGCTGCATGGGGGGACGGAGCATGAATGGGTGGGTCTGAATCGCGAGAAAATATATAGCTCCAGAAGGCCTTAGATGTCGATTCCAAGAACAAGTAAGATAACCTACGCAAGATGGCGTCCGTCGTTTCCCGAAGTAGCTGTCGAGCATACAGACCATCTCGTCGGAGCTGAGGTCGCCGGTGAATGGCCAGTTGGAGTCCCTGCACAGGCGGCGGGTCAGGTGGTTCTTCTGGTCCCTGGCCAGTCTCTGCACAACCAAACACAATAGATTCTGAGACGGTGACATCAGTCTATCGCATGATAGCATCAGTCTATCGCATGATAGCATCAGTCTGTTTTATTATAGCTTCTCACACAGAACCATCAGCTTCTCACATAGAACCATTGCATTCTCACACAGAAGCTACAACTTCTCAAACAGAACAATCAGCTTCTCACACAGAACCATTAACTTCTCACACAGAACCATCAACTTCTCACATAGAACCAGCGAATTCTCACACAGAAGCTACAACTTCTCAAACAGAACCATTAACTTTTCATACAGAACCACCAACTTCTCACACAGAACCATCGACTTCTCATATAGAACCATAAACGTTTCATACAGATCCATCGACTTCTCCAACCGAACTATGGACTTCTCCAACAGAACTATGGACTTCTCCAACAGAACTATCGACATTTCCCACAGAACTATCGACATTTCCCACAGAACCATCTAGTTCTCACACAGAACCATCTCAACCTACCGTGTTGTAGTTCTGCATGTGAATAAGCCGCTGATACGCATTAGGTTTCTCGGCCATGTCGCGAGTTTCTCAAGGTGGCACAGGTGTGTGCAATCCCCAGGTTACACTCTGAAGCCAATGCACGTGTGGTCTACCTGCTGACCTGTGTGATTTGTAACAAATTAATAATTGTGTGATCTACCTGCTGTGTGATTGTTAACCCTTTGGAGGCGGAGTCTTTTTGGGAGTTTCAGGGCCAAAAAGATGAAGCCTTCAAGTGGATTCTCGCAGTTTACACACACATACACAATTATTTAAAAAATAACGTGTTCAATTAACATATACAAAACTATATATATATATATATATATATATATATATATATATATATATATATATATATATATTCGCTAACAGAATATTTATGAATCAAACTAAAATGTAAACGTTTATTCTAATTAACTGTTGTAAGCATTTTTTTTTAAACTTGGGAACAAACATGACTAACCTGAAAAATTTTGGTGATTTTTTAATAAACTGAAGCCTAAATAATTCCTAACATTTGTGCTTTGGAAGAAACCCTTTAGAGGCCCTTCAGACACTTCTAGCACATGGTTCTACTAATTTTTATGCCTCCTGCTATGTTTCGATTAGTATGACGCAACACTCCTTTTCGCCACTGTTGTGCACACGTAATCACAGAAAAAAAAAAAAAATTAGCAATGTAAAATTACAGAAAACATTAAATTTTCTCGAAAGCCGTCATAGAACGGCCCACATGTTCAAGGAATACGAGTAGCACTCTGATTAGCCGGTACGAAAACCTGCTAGCCTATCTAAAGGCTTATATTATATAGGGTCGACCGATCGGCCTATTCGTCTTTTTGATTATTTTGTGTTGGGCCGATATTTCGGCACCATCGTCTTTAAAAGTCGGCTCTGCGGCTAAGTCGATGCGAACGCTTGGGAATGCCGGGTTCGATCTCAGCTGCGGGCCATGGGCCTTGTGTTGGTTTAGACAGTGGTATCAAGGAAGCCGACCATCTAGAAAGCAATGGCAAACTACTGGACGTAAATTTGCCTAGAAAAACCACACAACAGCAAGAGGATGTTAGGGTTTGTTCTGCAACGTCCTGTAAAGGATACGCAAATAGCGAACCGTCTTTAAAATGTTAACAATAAGAATCTAAGAAATGTGTATTCGACTTGCACTCCGCCGTTTATTGGAGAGGACTCTGAGAAATTATAGCGGTTGAGCCCCCTGATAGTGAGTTTCTAACTCGTATTTGAGTGAACAGTAATAAAAATAACTTGAGGAATTGCAAATAAATAAAAACATATGTTTAAAATGGTATGAAATGTTTGAGGAGATACTAAAAATAGAAGCCATTTTTATGGTTGGGGGACGTGATCCAGGGCTCAGAGCAGATGTAACCAGTTGTTTGGTGGTGGCCTCCCTTGCTGGGCCAGTGTGTTGCCTGTCTGAATGTGTAAAACAGACATGTGTTGTACAAAAGCGATATCTGCAGGGACACTGGTACTGGGCAGAGGAGACCACTTATGAATGAACTCTGACAGAAGACACGAGCTTAGCTGAAATAGCATGTGTATGAATGTATGAGGGAGGAATAAAGTGTAGATACAGAAAGGAGGGACGGATGAGAGGAAGAGATCGGCGTGTGTATAATCAGTGTGCTACAGGAACAGTTAGCAACTACACCTCAAGACACTTGCTGCGGGAGACAGAGCACCTATGGGCATGCCCTGTGTGCTACAGTGTAGATAGTTTAACCAGTAAATATGTTGTCCGCTATTTGGGGAGAGGGTTGCTGAATATGATGTAGTCACACAAAACAATTTCCCAGAGGCACATGTTACTAGGACCTTGATGTAAACCCACGCGTAAATCTAATTTTGCCACCAGCTCGACAGGGAAAGGTTCAAAACTGGACAGTCACGTGAAGACAACAGACCAGACATTGTAATAGCTTAAACACCACCCCCCCCCCTCCCCTCCCCTTTCTAACCCACCTACTTCAATTGATCTTTTTACTGACTTGCCGTCTCCGTGAGTGCGGAAACATCCGGGAACTTCCGCCATGGATTCAAGGATACGTATTTCATTTCTTTTATTTTTCCAGCGACCATATCCTTTTCTGCACGCCTGCCTTTATCAGGCCATGTAGCTGTCTTGTTTTTGTACAGAAAAACCTGTTTCTCCAAGTAAAGGACATGCGATCGAGCACAGAGCACGCACTCCGTAGCTTCGACGATCACGATCTGAAGTGAATGGTAGAGCGGGGAAGTGACCAGCGGATTTGACCGACATTTAACACTCAGGGAAAACATCAGACGAACATATCACACATACTAATGCCACGACTGCTAAGATACTGGTTGCGAACTGCCTGGGTTCTATATGTCCGCAGGAGCAACGTGTCACAGTTACATTGACGCGCTAGCACAAGCTACAGAGGACACAGGGTGCCATACAGTCTCTCGTCAAGTGTGGCCCTTCTACAGCAAAACCTCTCCACACGTCGGCTTGTGAGGTCGAGTTCCGGTCAGAGATGGTGTCCGGCGGTGCCAAGTTTGTGCGGAATGACACCTGTCCTAGCTGCTTCTGTATCGGCTGCTGAGATATCGAGGCAGACATGAATTCATAGCTGATGACCGACCCCTGAGTGTGTAGATTCCTTGGCCCATTGTCATACTTGAAGTAGTTGAACTGAATGCCTGACTTTCTCCGTTTACTGTCTTCCCATTCATCTGTGCCGCGTGTGCCCACGCAGACCGACCCCAGGAAAGACTGAGCCATCTGTACAGATGCCGAGGTTACCTGGTCGAGTCTGTACCAGGATGACAGCTCGTCTTTACCAGGGCTGTACATCTCCACCAGGCACTTTATTTTTCAATTCACCCCAAACATAGTAAATTCTGGATTTCCCGGTAAGTTCAATATTATGGGAGTGTTATGGGTTGGGTTTAGGGTTAGGCTTGGGCTTAAGGTTAGTTTTATGGTTAGTATAAGTCTATGAGGTGGTGGGCGCTGACAAAGGATTCCCTTTGTTTGAGGTGAATGTTAAAAAATACCGTCTACTACGTTGCAAGTAAGCTAATCTAAGGCGCCGGAATGTGTAGTCCCAGGCACAGCGAAGCATCCTCTCTACCCCACCCCTAAAAATGTATAAGGAAACACCCCAACCTAGTGCTTTATCTGTGGTGGCGCCTCAACGTACATAGTGTGTGTGTGTGTTTGGGGAGAGGGGGACTGGAAAGGGGAGGGGGATGGGCGGTAGTTGGGTCTTATCTGTGAATCAAGCGACGCCACACCGTTATCTGATAATGAAGATACATTCCTATTGACGTGTCTGTTTATAATCAGCGGACAAGTTCCCGGCTCTCTGCCAGGGTAGATTATCTACCATTTCCCGCTGATATGTAGCTACTTCCTAACCAACATCAGACAGTTGTACTCTCTAGTCGGGCAATGACGGCCGACTTCCGGTTGTCACTGTACAACGGGCGATGTCGACAGACTACAGAACAACAACCGACAAACAAGCGATCCACCACTCACATCGTCAATTGTACTCTCTAGTCAGGTGATGAGTGTCGACTCGTGTTGTCACTGTACGTATTATATAACCTGAAAAGTCCTTAATTAAAAATCAAAAGAAGACAAATAATGACATCCAAACATGATCTTCCCTGACATTCCCTAGTACCAGTCATCCTCCCGATGTAGATCCGAACCCAGGATGTGTTGTTAGCTCTAACATCGCGCCGTGCTGGTGCCACACGTATATCCAGTATTTGAAACAAAACGACAACACACCTATGTTAAGTTAGTCGCGTGTTCTTTACATAACGTTGCAGAACCAACCGCACAATCTCTTTGCCGTTGTATTGATTTTAGGCAAATTTTACTTTAAGTAGTTTGCCATTGCTTGCTAAACTGTCAGCTCTCGGTAGCATTGTCAGAACCAACGAAAGATGGTAGGCTACAAAATCGCATGCATGTCTCCCGTGACGTTGTCGTGACGGCAGGGGTAAGTTATAAATTAAGTACCGGACTCTGTAATGATGCTATAAATAGGGATGACGTCAGGGTATGGCTGAGTGACAGAACTGGGGAAATCCCTGATAAGAGAAGCAAGGGTTTTGCTGGTGAAAAGACAGAATTGAGCAATTCACGAGTGAATGCGAGATCTGGGGGATGGCGGATGAGGTGGTGATTCTGTGACCGGACCCCAGAGTGAAAGGAAGTGAAACTGATTCCAGAGTGATAAGTATAAACGTGGATCTGGATGAGAATCGAGTAAATGTTAGTCCTGAACGACAGGGAGAGAAGCTGTGTTGAGTGACTGTTTAGGACGGCAGTGGTGTTCTACGGCAGGTTGGTGGTGCCAGTCGCGTACATGCCAGTGTCCATCGTCTGAGGCCTGGCTGGAGACTTAGAGCGTGGGCGAGGCGAGCTTACTTGAAGGACGTAAGTGATTAGTTCTACTTTTGATTCTTGTCGCTAATAAACCCGTGAAGTGCTGACAACTTTCGTCGAGTGTCATTTAGAGACGTGTGACAGTTAGAGAGAAGAGAAGTTTGACTGGAATAAACTGTGACATGTGGAGACGTGTAACAGTTGGAGAGAAGAGAAGTTTGGCTGGAATGAACTGTGACATGACACACAGACAACAGAGCTAGTGTTGAATATGCACGAGGGACACTAAGTGCGTAGGAGACACATGACAGGCTCGAACCTGGTACCCCAGTATTTAAAAGAAAGTTAGGTATCTCACAAATAATCGAGACAAGTTGAACAGGATATCCACAATTAAATAACTGCTACTCTTGTGTATCGTTGGCTGTGCCCACACCTCCATGACTGCAGCTGACACCATAAGCCCACACCTCCATGACTGCAGCTGACACCATAAGCCCACACCTCCATGACTGCAGCTGACACCATAAGCCCACTCCTCCATGATTGCAGCTGACACCATAAGCCCACACTTCCATGATTGCAGCTGACACCATAAGCCCACACCTCCATGACTGCAGCTGACACCATAAGCCCACACTTCCATGACTGCAGCTGACACCATAAGCCCACACCTCCATGATTGCAGCTGACACCATAAGCCCACACCTCCATGATTGCAGCTGACACCATAAGCCCACACCTCCATGACTGCAGCTGATACCATAAGCCCACACCTCCATGACCACAGCTGACACCATAAGCCCACACCTCCATGATTGCAGCTGACACCATAAGCCCACACCTCCATGACTGCAGCTGACACCATAAGCCCACACCTCCATGACTGCAGCTGACACCATAAGCCCACTCCTCCATGATTGCAGCTGACACCATAAGCCCACACCTCTATGACTGCAGCTGACACCATAAGCCCACACCTCTATGACTGCAGCTGACACCATAAGCCCACTCCTCGCCCACACCTCCATGACTGCAGCTGACACCATAAGCCCACTCCTCGCCCACACCTCCATGACTGCAGCTGACACCATAAGCCCACTCCTCGCCCACACCTCCATGACTGCAGCTGACACCATAAGCCCACTCCTCGCCCACACCTCCATGACTGCAGCTGACACCATAAGCCCACACCTCCATGACTGCAGCTGACACCATAAGCCCACTCCTCGCCCACACCTCCATGACTGCAGCTGACACCATAAGCCCACTCCTCGCCCACACCTCCATGACTGCAGCTGACACCATAAGCCCACACCTCCATGACTGCAGCTGACACCATAAGCCCACACCTCGCCCACACCTTTATGACTGCAGCTGACACCATAAGCCCACACCTCGCCCACACCTCCATGACTGCAGCTGACACCATAAGCCCACACCTCCATGACTGCAGCTACCATAAGCCCACACCTCCATGACTGCAGCTGACACCATAAGCCCACACCTCCATGACTGCAGCTGACACCATAAGCCCACACCTCCATGACTGCAGCTGACATCATAAGCCCACACCTCCATGATTGCAGCTGACACCATAAGCCCACACCTCCATGACTGCAGCTGACACCATAAGCCCACTCCTCGCCCACACCTCCATGACTGCAGCTGACACCATAAGCCCACACCTCCATGATTGCAGCTGACATCATAAGCCCACACCTCCATGATTGCAGCTGACACCATAAGCCCACACCTCCATGATTGCAGCTGACACCATAAGCCCACACTTCCATGATTGCAGCTGACACCATAAGCCCACACCTCCATGATTGCAGCTGACACCATAAGCCCACACCTCCATGATTGCAGCTGACACCATAAGCCCACACCTCCATGACTGCAGCTGACACCATAAGCCCACTCCTCGCCCACACCTCCATGACTGCAGCTGACACCATAAGCCCACACCTCCATGATTGCAGCTGACACCATAAGCCCACACCTCCATGACTGCAGCTGACACCATAAGCCCACACCTCCATGACTGCAGCTGACACCATAAGCCCACACTTCCATGATTGCAGCTGACAACATAAGCCCACACCTCCATGACTGCAGCTGACACCATAAGCCCACTCCTCCATGATTGCAGCTGACACCATAAGCCCACACCTCCATGACTGCAGCTGACACCATAAGGCCACACCTCCATGACCACAGCTGACACCATAAGCCCACTCCTCCATGATTGCAGCTGACACCATAAGCCCACACCTCCATGATTGCAGCTGACACCATAAGCCCACACCTCCATGATTGCAGCTGACACCATAAGCCCACACCTCCATGATTGCAGCTGACACCATAAGCCCACACCTCCATGATTGCAGCTGACACCATAAGGCCACACATGGAAACAAACCTACTGAAACAACGACACGAACTGACGACCTCAAGTGTAAATAACAAAAACTAAACCACACGACACATCCGCAAGCCGACATGATGATAGCTTATCACTGAAATAGAACAGATATAAAATTTCAGCAACGGTCTATCCAGTACTTCTCCGGGGGCTGACCGGATAGACAACACCCTACAGTGATCTACATCCAATGCTCAAGGGGGCTAAAGGTTGTAACGGCTCTCTATATCCACCGGCAGAGTAGGGGAAGCTGAAGTATTTTCACAAGTAGAGAAAATTGTTCCTGGAGCACGGATATAAAGGAGGTGAGTGGAGACTATTTCACAGTTTTGTTGAGTGATTCTTGCCAAGTTTTAGTTTTTCATGACAGAAGTAAGGACTGGGTAGAGTCAACCCTGTCCAGATTCCACAGTTTTGTTGAGTGATTCTCGCCAAGTTTTAGTGTTTGATGACAGCAGTAAGGACTGGGTAGAGTCCGACCTGTCCAGATTCCATAGTTTTGTTGAGTGATTCTCGCCAAGTTTTAGTGTTTGATGACAGAAGTAAGGACTGGGTAGAGTCCGACCTGTCCAGATTCCACAGTTTTGTTGAGTGATTCTCGCCAAGTTTTAGTGTTTGATGACAGAAGTAAGGACTGGGTAGAGTCCGACCTGTCCAGATTCCACAGTTTTGTTGAGTGATTCTCGCCAAGTTTTAGTTTTTCATGTCAGAAGTAAGGACTGGGTAGAGTCAACCCTGTCCAGATTCCACAGTTTTGTTGAGTGATTCTCGCCAAGTTTTAGTGTTTGATGACAGAAGTAAGGACTGGGTAGAGTCCGACCTGTCCAGATTCCACAGTTTTGTTGAGTGATTCTCGCCAAGTTTTAGTGTTTGATGACAGAAGTAAGGACTGGGTAGAGTCCGACCTGTCCAGATTCCACAGTTTTGTTGAGTGATTCTCGCCAAGTTTTAGTGTTTGATGACAGAAGTAAGGACTGGGTAGAGTCCGACCTGTCCAGATTCCACAGTTTTGTTGAGTGATTCTCGCCAAGTTTTTAGTGTTTGATGACAGAAGTAAGGACTGGGTAGAGTCCGACCTGTCCAGATTCCACAGTTTTGTTGAGTGATTCTCGCCAAGTTTTAGTGTTTGATGACAGAAGTAAGGACTGGGTAGAGTCCGACCTGTCCAGATTCCACAGTTTTGTTGAGTGATTCTCGCCAAGTTTTAGTGTTTGATGACAGAAGTAAGGACTGGGTAGAGTCCGACCTGTCCAGATTCCACAGTTTTGTTGAGTGATTTCTTGCCAAGTTTTAGTGTTTGATGACAGAAGTAAGGACAGACAGACTAACCTACAACACACACTGAACCCGAACGCACACAGAGCACACACGACAATCTTTATTGGAAGTACAGGTAATACATAGACAGTTGACTTCCCGCCGTGTGGCCACCTATTGCCTGGACCCTCTGGCTGGACGGGCTTTACAATCGCCCCGTCCCCAGTACGT